AGGAGGCCCCGGGGGCTCTCCCCCCTGGTGAGTTTCCATGCCTTCCTCACTGCCAAACTCCAGGAGCCCTTCCTTTACCTCTATAACTTATTTCCTAAGCCCATATCTTCTATGAATTACTTCTACTACCTCTGTGATTTTCCAAATAAGTGGTCACTTACAGTTTGAGTCTTGGCTCTGAATTCTTTCCTAGCCAGAACTCAAGAACTGAGGTTTTTAAACCTGGTCCAGTCTGACCCCATGGGTCTAATACCTGGTACTATTCTGAAGCCCCCAACAGTATGGAAAGCGCTTGGCTGTCAGTCTAGCCTGGGGAAAAGATCATTGGCAAGTGCTCAAAGTCTTGGAGAGTTAAAGTCCCCGAAGAGTTCCCTCTCTCCTTGTTCCCTCTCTCTCTTGTTCCACAACTATGCTCGCTAGCCTGTTCCCTTTCTATAGCCATGTGGCCTTAAGGCGCCACATGACCCATTAATTTTATATCATCAATAAAGCTTTCCCACAAAACCCCATTGTCCCACGGGGACCTCAGGAAATTCTTTTCTTTGAGGCACCACAAGAACTCCACTTACACCAATAACAATCTTACTACTGGTCTGAAAGTTTATGTGCCTAACATTTCAAAAAGGCCAATATTCAAAACATCAGAGTTTGGAGTAAGGAGAAGACACTTAACTGAGAAGATGGGGGTCTTAGAGGTTCCTTAAATCCATCTTAAGAGAGTCCAGACTTCACATTTTTATGTCAAATGAAGGAAAAATGGGAAGGGCAAGAGGTCATTGAGGACCACAGACATCTGGGCACCAGCAGGGACCTAAGAAAGAGTGTGAAATCTGAAATCTCTTTGTTTCCAGTCTGTTAACCCCTGCTGATCTAAATCCAGTCTTGAGGCTTCTGCAAATCTTTGATAAATAATAATTATTTTTTTACATATTTAAAAAATGCCTCGGGTGAGGCACCTTCTGGCAAGGGGGCTGTTTTTGTGTTTTGTTTTGTTTTTTAATATATTTTTATTGATTTCAGAGAGGAAGGGAGAGGGAGAGAGAGAGGCAGAAACATCAATGATGAGAGAGAGGCATGGATTAGCTGCCTCCTACACGCCCAACACTGGGGATGGAGCCCGAAACCCTGACTGGCCTGAAACCCGGGCATGTGCCCTGGCCTGGAATTGAACCAGGATCTCCTGGTTCATAGGTTGACGCTCAACCACTGAGCCACACCCCCTGGGCACGGGGGCTGTTCTTAAAGAAAAAATAAACCTCAAGCTGCAAGCAGAATTCCTCTATAATGATTAGCATGTCTATATGCAAGAACACAGGCTTGAGCAAGACGGGGTCAGGGAGGCTATTTCACTGGCACAATCCAGCCTTCAGCCCCTCTCCTTCCCAGAGGTTAGTGGGAGACTGAAAGTTATACCCCTCTAATCACAAGGCTGGTTCTCCAGGCAACCAGCCCCCATCCTTAGGTGGGGCTCGAAAGTCACTTCATTAACATAACAAAAGACACAGTGATCACTTTTATCCTTTAGGAAATTCCAAGGGTTTGGGGAGCTCTGTGCCAGAAACTAGGAGGAAGATCAAATATATGTTTCTTATTCTAAATCACAACATCACAGCTCCCTTTCTCATCTAGGAAGTACAGTCCCAGCAGCTGCCTCCAGAAGCCCCCACACCCACTACTCTGACCCCCAGTTGTCTCACTTGGACAGAAAGCTCAGCCATCCAGACTCCTGTCAGGTGACCCGGAGCTGACAGGTCCCCTAGAGGTCATCTAACATGCCTCTCCCTCCCACAGAAAGAAACCGATGTCAGACTTGTGGCCATGTGGGCTCGGCCAGAACCCAGGCCTTTCACCTGCTCCATCCTGGACCAGTGACGCCTCTCGGGCCAGAGCATGGGGCTGGGACGCTCACCTTTATCCAGGGACTTCTACCAGTCAGGCACAGGGACACATTTTTTCAGGTGTGTTCACCTAAACCCTCCTCACAGCCCTGACAGATATTTTACTCAGGAAGACACAGAGGCACGGAAAGGTAAAAAGACCCAGTCTTTCTGACCCAATGCCTTGGCTTTTCTCCCTGCAGCACAAAGAAGTGTAATATCCTGCTCCTCCTGCAGTTTCCTCCCAAGTTCCCTCTTCTAGTCGCGGCAGATTAGGTAGTCTTTCAGCCTCCAGCCCAGCAGTGCAGGGGTCATTTTGAATTCTTCCTTCTTCAACCTGGCAGCCAGTCTGTGGGCACAGAATCCCGCTCTGGCAGGCTGGAAGAAACCGCGAAGGGCAGGCAGTTCAGCTGTCTACGCAACACTTAGATTTCCTCTAAACGGCTGTGGTGAAGCCATTGCCCAGGTTCAGCCTCGTCTGAACTCGGCCCCCACATCTGTGCCAGGGGCTCGCCTCTTTCTGATATTACCTGTTGCATCTTGAAATGTTTATGATGTTCCAAAGTCAGCCTTAGGTCAAGCTGAAACGGGTCTACGTGTTCCCTCCCCTCTCCACCCCCACACTCACATTTTCACTGGTCCTAGTTGTTGTTTTTTTCTTGGGATTCACAGAACAGACCTGCCTACTCTCCTCGACCTTAGCCCTTTAAATGTGAAGGCTATAATCTCGTTCCCAGAAGGTAAATATCTCCCTTTGCTCCAGCTGGTCTTCACAGGACATACTTCAAGTCACTAATCAGTCTGGCCTCTCCTCCTAAAACGCTCTAATTTATCCAAATCCTTTGTTACAAACTCAGTGCCTATGGGGGCCAAGCAAATGACATCAGTGAGTGCGATGGGTGGAGTAATAGGGAGTGGTGGGGACTGTGGTAAAGAGTAAGAACCCATCTGTTGGAAACAGTCACTTTAGTTTCAGGCGATTGTTGCCCCACAGAAATGAGACCCCAGCATTGCCAGATACCTCATTTTCCAGGAGAAACAGAAAACATTTTTTTTAAATGTATTTTATTGATTTTTTACAGAGAGGAAGAGAGAGGGATAGAGAGCTAGAAACTTCGATGAGAGAGAAACATCAACCAGCTGCCTCCTGCACACCTCCTACTGGGGATGTGCCCGCAACCAAGGTACATGCCCTTGACTGGAATCAAACCTGGGACCTTTCAGTCCGCAGGCCCACGCTCTATCTATTTGGCGAAAATAGAAAAATTTGATTTGTATTTGAAATGTCCTGATTTTTTAATCTCAGTAATTAATTAAAACACACACACACACACACACACACACACACACACACACACACACACACTGTGCAGGCAAACAAAAACCTGTGGGCACTATGCAACTTCTGAAAATGTACCACCTAAAACTGGATTCAACACTCAGAAGTAGTGGGTAACCTGTTCTGTGCACCCTAACTTGTGAAAGCTACTCCCTCTCTCTCTTGATGTCCACTATTTCAGGTCTTCACTGTCCCTTACCAGGCCCAGGCCCACTGTCCTGACCAGCCAGCCGTCTCTACCTCTTCAGCCCTGCTCCTCACCACTGCCCAGTGCGTGCCATCACCCAAGACCCTGCTCTAAGATCCACTATGGCGAGACCTCAATCAGCCAGGCCTGGTTCCTTCTGGAGAACATGCTTCCTCAGCCTCCCTTTTTCGTTTTTATTTTTTCTCCCCTCTTCTGTTGGAACTGGGGCCCCTCCCTTCTACCCACTCCTTCATACCTTTGCTCAAGCTAGGCTTTCCTCTAGGAATGCCTTCCTCCTTCCCCACCTACATCTTATCTTGGCTCAGCTTCCCTCCTCCTGAGGTCTCCCCTGGCTGTGTCAGCCCAAGGTGGTTTCTGCCCCTTATACTTTGCCAATACCACATCTGTAATATGGGGAGAAGACAGACTGACCTCAAAGAGTGTTTGAGGAATAAATGAGGTGACTCATGTCTAGGGCTTGGAGCAGCAGTGGGCACACAGGAAGGGCTAGTGAACGTGAGCTCTTACTATGAATACCCTGATTAACACTGAATCCACATGCCATCTGGGGCTCTTTCACATTTCTACTCCGGTATTTCCAGCTAAATGATAAAAGAATCCTGGGCACGGAGACCTGCAGACCTGGGTCAGAATTTCATCTGCCCCACATTTTACCCTGGTGAAGTCACACAAATTCCTGCTGTCACCAGAAAGGGACCAGGCCCGGAGCAGGTCTGCCTCAGGGCCAGCCTGTAGTGTGTGGGTTCTTGACTTTGTGCAGGAAAGATTTCACAACATGAGCCCAGGTGATTTTGAGTACAGTCATTGAGCCGGGGACAGTGAAACAAAGGAAGGGCTTAGGATAGAAGGAGCAACAGGAGAGAGCCTGGGTGAGGCTACTTTGGCCTCTAGAAACAGTATGGAAAGAAGTGTGTGTTGCCGAAACCAGTTTGGCTCAGTGGATAGAGCATCGGCCTGCGGACTGAAGGGTCCCAGGTTCGATTCCGGTCAGGGTTGCGGGCACATCCCCAGTGGGAGATGTGCAGGAGGCAGCTGATCGATGTTTCTCTCTCGTCGATGTTTCTAGCTCTCTGTCTCTCTCCCTTTCTCTCTGTAAAAAATCAATAAAATATATTTAGCCCTGACCGGTTTGGCTCAGTGGATAGAGCATCAGCCTGCGGACTGAAAGGTCCCAGGTTCGATTCCGGTCAAGGGCGTGTACCTTGGTTGCAGGCACATCCCCAGTGGGAGATGTGCAGGAGGCAGCTAATCAATGTTTCTCTCTCATCGATGTTTCTAACTCTCTATCCCTCTCTCTTTCTCTCTGTAAAAAATCAATAAAATATATTTTTAAAAAAAATATTTAAAAAAAAAAAAAAAAGAAGTGCGTGGCCCTGGCTCTTTTGGCTCAGTGGATAGAGCATCAACCTGTAGACCGAAGGGTCCTGGGTTCGATTCTGTTCAAGGGCACGTACCTTGGTTGCAGGCTCAATCCCAGCCCTGGTCGGAGCTGGTGCAGGAGGCAACTAATCGATGTGTTTCTCTGACATCGATATTTCTCTGTCTTTCCCTCTCTCTCTAAAAGAAAAATCAATGG